AATGAGAAAGCTATCTCAGGCTGCCGGGCAGCCCGAGAGACTATAGCAGTGTGCATACAGCATAACCTGTCCCTATATCCTTCCAAAATTGTAATTTCCTAGAAGCTATCTGGTTTGTTCAGGACAAACACAGTAAAACACAAAAGTTATTTTTCTTCTTTCATTCAAATTTAGCCAAACTTAGGTCTTTTCTCAAAATTCAGTGTCCCTGAAATCCTGCCATCACCAGGGCAATGGGTTATATGACCCAATAAAGATACTATCCAGCACCAATAATTTTACAATTCTGAGGAATGCTTAACACAAGACAGAAACTAAGACAAGAAGTATAAGGCGACCATTAAAAAGTGGCAGGAATTAAATAAATTGAAAGTCTACCCACAGAAACAGAGAATCAGCATTAGCTAGGACTGTGAAGATATTTGCAACACATCAACCCAAGAAAGGCAATTTCAGGTTTTAGAATAAAATAATTAGTGTTTTAGCAAAAGCAACAAGGGTATGACAAAGGATATGCAAAAATCTTAATGGTCCCATGTGAATACATGGGGGGGGGAAATGTAAACAGATGGAACTAGTGATCTGTAAGATAAACAGAGTCAAAAGAACAGGATTACTTGTGGCACCTTAGAGACTAACAAATTTATTAGAACATAAGCTTTCGTGGGCTACAGCCCACTTCTTCGGATGCATATATAGAGTCAAAAGAGAAGAAACACAAACACCAATAAGTGGTGTAGGCACCTAAATAACTCCTACAACTAACAGAGAATATGGACACACACATGAAGGCAAGAAAGTAATAATATTTTCAGTACTTTATTCAAGAGTTGAAGGCTAGGTCAGACTAGATTATCATAATGGTCCCTTCTTGCCTTAGAATCTATGACTCTATGAAAGGCAGTTCAGAAAAAAAGGAAGTCTTCCCTTAACCAAATCCTCTTTGAAAGGTCCTCTTTACACAAACCACTCAGAAGAACAGAAGGCAACAGATTTTAAAAAGCCTGTAGCTCTCATCCACTTTCCACATGAAAGATATTTAAGAAGTTTCTATTCAGAGGCAATAAAAACAAATCTCGTGTTCTTAGGATAAAAGTGAGAAGGGGGGAACTAACATGGCAGGTTTCCGTAAACCTGCTTTTATTTTGCATGTCTTGTTCCCTTTAGAAGTGTGGAGATGACTCAGTGTTAACAATACTGGGCCCAATTCAGATTTCACTCTTACACTGGTGAAGCCCAATTGACTTCAGTGATTATGAATCCCAATTTACACAGGTAAGAGAGAGAAGAATCATGCAGCATTGTCAAGTAATCTGCACTTCAAATCAGTAACCGGGGCAAAATCTTGTCCTTTCTGAGGGTATGCTGATGGCTGCCAGGGAGCCTCTGCTCTTCCCAATACACCCATGCAGCATCTGGGTGGATATCCTGCAAACAAATGATGCAGGCTAGGGACTACTAATTCGTTTGATGGCATGTCTCCACTGGATGAGGGGGCACATTAGCCTAGATGCATAAAAGTAGTTAGGCATTTTGACACTAAGCATCAAACACCTAGAAAATCACTTTCCCCTCACGCAGGGCCTCAGAACCCAGTCTCCAGGCCAAAAGAACAGGAGTACTTGTGGCACCTTTGTTAGTCTCTAAGGTGCCACAAGTACTCCTGTTCTTTTTGCGGATACAGACTAACACGGCTGCTACTCTGATCTCCAGGCCAAGCGTCTACAATGCTGTTTTTAGCCCCATAGTGTGAACCCTGCAAACCCGAATCAGTGGATCCAGTCTCAGATTCACTGCTGCATTGTTGATTTTTGCTGCGTAGACGTACCCTTTGACCGTGATTCACAAAAGTTCAGCATGATAGAGCTGAGTGAGTTTAAGCACATACAGGGTTCAGTAGAATTTTGTGCCTTGCAGTAGTTCTGAAACTGGCACATAGGCACCTAAAACAGGGACTTAGGCACCTCACTCCTTTTGTGCATCTAGGCCTTGGAGTCTAGGAATAAGGAAGCTGATGGTGGAGCTATGGCGCACAGGACTTGGTGAGAAGCTGTCAAATTTTTCCATAGCAGTCTCTATTACAGCAGCCATGTCTGACAGGTAGGTATTTTTTATTAATTAGTTTCCCCCATGTCACCACACACCTCCCAACCAAGCTCAAAGCCAGCCTCATCCAGCCATGTCCTTAACACAACTGTTTTGCAACAACGGTAGCACTTATTTTACAAAGGCACTCCTCTCTATCCTGCGACAGAGAAGTATGACATGTTTTGAGTCAGGCTGCATCTGGCCCTATGCTGGTCTGTAGGAGTACGTTGAAGAGAACAAGGAGTCTGACAGCTAAGAGGCACATTCTCAGCCCTTTTCTTCAGGGAATTCAAGGATGGCTTGAGGGTGGGGCTGAAAGTGGCATCAGATGAGTAAGTGGGTCAGAGAAGAACCATTATTCCTTGCCTCATGCTGCACAATTCAAAGCTTGTAGCAACAGCTGCTCTGACCTGTGATCCAAGAGAACCACAGGAACGGTCTGCCTCAAGAATTACCCCACTGTCCCTGAGAATTAAATTTGAGCCAATAGAATAGCATCAGGCGCAAAAGAGGGCAAACAGGCAGTGTGGGTAGAAACTGGGTGTAGCCAACAGCAGGCTTCCTTATGCAGTTTTGGCAAGTCTTGTGATATTATCAAAGTCTCACACTATCCGCTGGGTTGGTTTTTAAATCCACAGCTCCCGGAGTGTCATAATTACACGAGAATCTCATCTTTCATTAAAAAGGGAAATTGCTAGTTCTCATGGTGCAGAGAAAAGCTTTAAAAACAGAGGAACCCTAATGGGTCATAAACCAGAAAACAAATGGAAGGAACCCAAAATTATTTTTAGAAATCTCATGTTTTTTTAATGTTTTAGATCGGCAACACTGAAGCCCGTCCTTTAGTGCACAGCAGCTATTTTGTTGGAAAGTATTTACTTCCAGTCCAATTACAGGAGTACCTGGAGAGACATACCTGAAGCAGCTGGTGGTGAGCAGCATGAGGAACAGAGTAGCCATTTGCTCAGGTGCAGCTCTTTGCCTTGCACACACACACACCACACACAAACACCTCTCCCATATTTTTAACTAGTGGCCTTAGGAAACCACGCATTTGTGTTTATTTCTATTTCATCTGATAACTGCATATCAGGATGGTTATTGAAATTTCTGAGCATTTCCCCCAGTATTGTCCTGAAGGCTTTTCCCAAGAGGCAAGAGCTAATTATTGGCAGAGATACTTATTTGATACAGTTTCTACATAACTTAGAGAAGAGTATTTAGTTCAGTTATAGTATTTACTCATTGGCTGTGGTTACTGTACACTCTTTCCTGTCCTTTATTCAGAAAAACAAAGGAAAGTTTGGCTTGTGTTGTTTTAAATCAGTAGGAGTTGGAAATATTCTAACAAGATATGACAGATTGCAGCAAAACCAACCCTTGAGAGGTTTTATTTCCCTTTGCCAAACTTTTAAAGAGACATAAAGTAAATATCTGTGCCACGTATAAAAGTTTAATTAGCTAAATTAATGTATTGCTACTGTTTAGTGGTGTTAATTTTTTTGCCCGTAAATGAATGAATTTTACCAGCACCAAAACACCTTCCAGGTGAAACAGCAAAATGTGGTCAGCAGTGCATTAATGCCTCCACTTCATTATATCTATGAACATGATGCACGCTTGATTATAATCAAATCAGTAAGCTAGCCTCTTGCTTCTCACTGCAAAATGAGATAAATTAACTACTAGCTACAACCATGGATGGAATATTAATGTATACAATGCCCTGAGGATACCCCTCTATGTAGTACAACATGCCTTATGAAAAAGTTCTAGTTCCAAGCTTTGAGATTATGATGCAAAACTGAGCAATTCCAAACAGGGTGAATTCAGTGAGACACCCTACACTAAAACTGAACATATTTCCAGATAGTACATTTGGTAGACACCATTGAGATGTATGTAATCTTTACCCCAGGCTACTCTAAACCCAAACCCAAACAAACAAACAAAGATTAGTGACTGGATCTGTGTAATCTGCTGGCCCTGCTTCCAGACCTCCTTTCACACTGGGAACTTGTGGAGATGGTGCACAAGGACAGCTCATGGACATTCCAGGAGTGAAGATCACCTACACACCTGCTCTCCTCTTCCTGGAACCCCCATGCAGTGGCACTATTCTGGTTCACAGCCTTCCAGGATCATATAAGATGGAGAGAGCATGGCAATGGGACATAGGGGGCTGTACCATAAAATATTTATATTCTTGGGGCATTACAAATAAAAAATGTCTACATGCTTTGAAACTGCAATATGTTGCAAGTTATAACATACTCTACAGTCCTGGTTTAATAGCAAAGGAAGTGACATTAAGCTTGAAAAGGGAAACTGCAGCTTTCATCAGCTCTTCACAGCCTGAAGAAAACTGAGCACAGCATGTGCCCTGACTAAAACCATAGGGCACTGAGGTCTTATAAAAATCAGGATTGTGTGACATTCCTGGGTTGCTTTTTGGCAGTCCACAGCATCCGAGCACAGAATGAGCAACCAAAGACTTTTGGTCATTTGATTACAAACCAACTGAATTCTGAGCCTCACATCAATCTAGAGTAGCTCATGCAGCACTTGAAACACAGCCTACTATAGTACTTGCCAAATAGAATAGGAGAAAAATACAAGGGAAAAAAATGACATTTTCAAATTTCTAAGAAGTTATCACTATTAACAAGATCTCTGTCTTAGGCATTTCTATGTTTCCCATCACCCTGGAATCTGAGCACTGCAGTGGAGTGCAAATAAAATAAATGTAAAGCTTTAACTACAAAGGAATTGGTGATGTCCTTTTAAAAACAGCATAAAGATTTGGCTAAATCAGACAGGGAATTTCACACAAGATTCTCAAGTTTTGATTTCATCTTCTACTCTTGCATTTTAATGATTTAAGCATCCTGCATTACAAGGTTTTCACTTACTGCATGGGAAGTCTTGGAGAGCTCCTCTCTGGAACCAGCAATTCCAGCTCCAGTATAATCTGATAGGAAGCAACTGAACAGACGAGGCCCCTGGCAAAGAAAAAAAAATTAAAGTGTAAACACCAGCTCTTGCATCTATTACACTGAGGAATATTCTCCTAAGAGAAATGTTAGAAGTCTCATCATTTGACTGTTAAAACTAGACTACAATGAATAAACCACTAATATATCAGAGTACACTGTAAGGTGTTACACCTGCAAACATACTCGCTAAGTATGTTGCATCCTCCTCTAGTAGCTTGTTTGCACAGAGAATAAGACCCCGTTACTGCTTCTAACATCATATTTCAAGTAGCTGAGGGCTTTTATGATGAAGGTCCTAGTCCTATCCTTGCTGACAACATGTTAGGGTTTGAGGGCTCATTATACAAAAAGACCAACTAGAAAATGTAATAGTACTTTTTCATTTTTAACTATTAGAATTCTGTGAAGATCAAGCATTTGTCTCTCATTCACCCTTAATTCTACACCCACTACTACAGTACCTAAACGCCAGGCACACAGAAAATCCAAATCCACAAACTGGTCAACAAATGGAATAAAAGAAGACAGCACTCTTCAATAACCACAGCCAAACTCAGGGAGAGACCCAAGGTCACTCCTTGCCAAGCCACTGGGGTAGCTTTAGCTATTTTATTTAAATAAGGAATTGAAAAAAAAATTGGGCCTATAATATATAAAATGCATATAATGTTGGTTGTATGAACACTGTCACAGCCCATTTGAGATAAAATGTATGGTATTAAGAATATGGTAATTGCAGGATGTTTCAAACATTCAGCTCTCTGTGAAAAGCTGAGTGTCTGAAGATGAGGATTTATAAATTGCAAATAAAAGAACCCGTCCCTAGTGATATCAAGCCAATGAGCAGCATGTTGACAGATATTAAATCCTACTGCCTAAATAATCCCCTTAAACCTGTATCCGTGAAACCCAACAGTGAATTTACAAAATTTATCCATCCCTCATGTTCAATATAAAATAATTTAACTAAAAAAACAAAGGGTGGGGAACAGGGTGGCCAATAGGTTTCCATCCAAGGGGTCTGCGGACCACAGGTTAAAAACCACCGTTCTATGTAGATCAAAAAGCAAAATTAAAAGAAATAGTTGATATTGCGTCTTTCAGGGAAAAAAATGAGGGGAAAAATATAATGCCACATTTGCTATGACAATGGTAGATTATATTAAATTGGACAATCTATGACAATCATTTAAAAGACAAACAGATTATGACAGACAGGACAGACAAATGCTAGGGGAAAGAGGTATACTTAGATTGTAAGTAGGGTTCTCGATTAATCGCAATTAACTCATGCGATTAACTCAAAAAAATTAATTGCTATTAAAAATGGCAATTCATTTTTTTAATCACACTGCTAAACAATAGAATACCAATTGAAATGTATTAAATATTTTTGGATGTTTTTCTACATTTTCAAATATATTTATTTCAATTACAATGCAGAATACAAAGTGTACAGTGCTCACTTTATATTATAATTGCATTACAAATATTTGCACTGTAAAAATGATAAACAAAAGAAATAGTA